CATATACAGTCTGAAGCTTAGTGGCCCAAAAACCAGGGACAGCTAGCTGTCCAACAAAGTGGTTGGTTAGCATAGTAATATTAAGTAGGATAATTTATAGAGGATATTATATATCTAGTACCACCTAAAAAACCTCATAGGGTTTCATCCACAACGTACATCGTGTACGCGCTTGCCCCTAGAATACGTTGATCGGTCTTGCCAAAAGGAAAATTCCGGACGCTCGCCCCCCAGGATATACGGTGCACATGCATGCCCACATGCAAAATCCGGATTGGTCTTGGCCAAAAGAAAAATCCCAGACCAGTCTTAGCCTGTCCACATGCAATCCGACTCTATCACCACGTCTACATAGGTAGCTATCTTCTATCTATCTATCTACAACTAAAATATCCCTACAGCTATCATCTGCGTCGCCCTGCCCCACGGCAAAAAAAAACACAGTAAAAAGAAACCAACCTCCCCGTTTCCAAAACAAAAAAATCAAATACGGCAAAAAAACGTTTCCGAAAAAAACATATACACGGCAAAAAAAAATCCGTTTCAGAAACAAACTCTTCCATGTCCCCGTTTCCAAAAAATACGGCAAAAAAGAGTTTGCGAAAAAAAGATACAGCAGAAAAAAATTGTTTCAGAAATAAACTCTTCCACATCGAAAATCATATACAACAAAAAAACTGTTTTCAAAACAAAATGTTCTACATCCAAAATTATATATAACGACTGATTATAGGCCAATGAAACTGATCATCGAGTTTGGCCCTCAAAAAATCTAGGTCTCTTGCCGACTACGGCATCCAGTCCAATCAGCATACGCGTCGCCTGTACTTAATAAATCCACGGGCATTTTCATGATGTTCTGGAGGAGGTAGTCGATGAACAGGCACGTTACTAGCCGCCTCTCTGGCACACATTGGCCCGCATAAGGTTGCATGCCTCCGTGGCGGTGGCCGGAGACGGCGAAGACTAGGAGGAGTTGACTTGAGACACCTTTGAAGACAAGCAGGTGGTAGACGGAGACGTCGTTGACGACGGTGCAGAGGATGAAGAGGAGATGCGGTGTATGTACTCGTAACTATCAGCGAAGTTGACGTCGTAGAGAGAGACGACGACGAGGGTAAGCAGGACGAGCGCGAGGACTAGCGTGGCAACGGTGCCATTGTGGAGCTTCATGGCCACTAGGGGCGTACGTGAACGCAAACGACGAGAAAAAACAAATCCTTGCGGACAGACACTCCAACATGAAAAAGAGGACAAGGATGTAGAGAGTAGATGAAAAGATAACATGATTCCATATATATAAAAAAAGGAAATTTAGAAATAGTTTAGGGTTGCCAATATAAATTTGTGTATTAATTTTTTATTATTTTCTAAAAATAATCAAATTTGTCGTCGTAGATGCTCGTGAGAAAAAATATGGCCTCCGTGCAACGCACGGGCATATATCTAGTTATATATAGATAGACTTTGGTCTCTCACACATCTAGGTCGTCACATACACCAAAAAGGATACTCATACATGTATTTATACATATATACATCTACATGCACCACTTTGCACGGGCAGGCTAAGGCACGTCCCACGGCATTGGATACTCATACATGTATTTATACATATATACATCTACATGCACAACCAGCCAAGCTGCTCACGTACATGCATTAAAGAATAGCTAAGGCTATGTTCGGTTTAGGCCGGGATAACAGCCTGTTCGGGAGGCCATATCGTATCGTGGATTATTTACTGTTGGCTGGTTTGATGTGAGAGAAAAACACTGTTCTCGGCTGGAAATTTACGATCGTTTACGAGCAAGCGAACAGGCTGAGCCTGCCACGCTTCCGAGTGTATTTCGAGGGGAGAGACAAATATAGTGGAATTTTAGACTTTATATCACTAAATATGGTGAGTGTGCTTACTAACTTAGCTAAGTAGTACATATTTCATCAATCCTACGCGGAGGAAGCAAGCGCCCTACTGAGGCCAGATGAGCAAGCCATTGTTGACTTGTTTGCCATTTTCGAGAAGCTCGTGGAAAAAAACATCTTGACTCGGCCACTCTCCAAGTCAATCCGCTTTATATCTCGGGGAGTCATACGGCGGAAAACTAGCCGTGACACTCAGACTTTGTTTGAAAAAGGCTATCCTCGCAGGCACGCTCAACCTCGCGCTTGAAGGGATTGTCCTTGGAGGAGATTCTTGGATGTCGCTGATCAAATATGGTTAGACTTTATATCACAAAAATGTATTTTGGTTGGGGGCGGGGCATATGCTCCCACAGCTATACATGTAGCTTCGCCCCTTGAATGTGGGTTCTTCAAAACCAGACCAAGTCAGTGTGCTTACTAACTTAGCTAAGTAGTATGTACATATTTCATCAATCCTACACCAAGGAAGCGATTTCCCTACTGAGGTCAGATGAGGAAGTGGTGGCCGACTTGTTTGCTTAACTTAAGAAGCTCATGGAAAAAGAGATCACGACTTGGCGACTCTCCAAGAATGGGTGAAGTGATAGAGGAACAGACACTAGCAAGTCAGTTTGCCATAGCACGCCAAAACATTTACGTATCAGGTCACACACATATGTAGTTGTGGGTGCATATGCCCCCCCCTATCTAGATTTAATGATAAAGACTAAAATTTTACCGTATAAGCACCCTCAAGGAAGTTGCATATGTACCTTCATTATACCCGCTAATATGTGTCTAAGAAGTTATTTTGTCATCAGTACCCTTCGTTATAGCTCTAATATTCACAATAAGTCGTTTCATACATAACTATATATTTAACCTTGGTTCACCCCTTCTCTCTACACTCTAGGTTTGAAACTGACCTCATGAGTTCGGTGTGAAGAAGTTCTTGAGCCTCCGCAGGAGACGTTGCATTTCTATGACACTATGAAATACTATTCTAAGGCAATCATAGCCTATGTTAGGTCGTACAAAATCCTGGAGTTCTACTGGATCCTCGGAGCTAGGCACATGGTAATAATGCGTCAAATTATATATACTTGGTGGTAAAAATGAAGCAAACGGAAACAATCTACTTATGCATGTCTTTATTTTCCCCTTATCTACAGGTGCTGGTTGATCAGCCTTATGTCGCGTTCCGCATGATAGCTCACGCCACGCAATCTCCTGGCGCAACAAGTTGGACTATGAGAGCGAGCTACGTACTGTGATTCTAAAGCTTGGTAGTACTAATTCTAATTAGTCATGGACTTGATTATTATCTGGCAGTCATGTTGTTAGTGCCCCATCAATTAAACTGCAAGTCTATTTGATATTTAATAACGGCAGCTAATACTTTCTAATCCAGTATTAATATTCACTACTAAGTAGTCGATGCATGCTGGCAACCATGGAGCTAGCCAGCTAGCCCTGTTCATGGTCCGAGCTGGATGGGTTTGGCACATTTGCTACCCAAATCAAGAGTGGATTGGGGGGCATGATCCCCCCTCTCACTCACCCACCGCTAGATTCTCCATTGACCAAAGCATCAAGGTGCTATCTGCTACACTTATTTCTCATGGATTTTCAGTGCCTTTTTCTGTCTTTAATTAGCTACAATAATGGACAAATAGCAACAGGAGCTATCCCTCTATGTTAAAATAAAGTCTTGGACTCTTTGTATATATATCGATCATTTGTTGTCACAAACACAAAATTGGGTAATGTGTATATGTCTCTTGTTCACTACCAGAACGTTCTCATGCAGTCATGCCCCGAGAGTGTTCCCCCTTCCAGTGCGGTCACATCGATCCACCTCCGCATCCTCTGGTCCTCCCTTCGGTTCATTGCCTCATTGACCCTTGGACAGTTGGGTCTAGCTATTGCATGAATTTGTGCTTATACATGTCATTTTCCTATTGGTTGAGTTCTTTGTTCTCTTATACACAGGTCCACCCTACCTTTGCTGCCAAATTGTTTGCTAGGTCGTGTCTTCGAGCCGGCCACCTCATTTTCGGTCGTGCTGCACAGACATGGTAAGCTCCTCAAAGCCAACTGCTCGCTACCAAACAGCCACGACCATAATGTCCCAAACGACGACTCCGCGCGCGCCCCTGCAGCACACTGGGACATGCGCCATACGCGCTAGCTCTCCCTTTCCTAGTCCTACTTTGTGCATCACTCAACCGTGTGGAGAACCGACGCTGTCGTTGGCCACCGCCTCGCCTGGTGTTGCCAGGGTCCGCTAGGCGCTCGCCTACAGTCTAGCAAAATCCCACATCTAGCAAAATCTGCAACACCTAGGTCCTTGCATGTTGCCTGGTGTCCTTGTGATATTTTGTTCTGCTACGTGTCCATCATCTACCATGGAGGTGCGATGGATCTGGGGTCCACCCAATTTATTTTCACCTAAACAACGCCATCGTAGCACGTCCTCCTATTTGTTCGCTCGGACATGCATACGACCTGCGGTATTAGAGGCTCGGCGCCGTAGCATCTCTGTACTACGCGGCCTGGCCGTGTGCATAGCACTGGCACATGGGAACTCGCCCAGCGCACGCCGACCATGGCACAACGCGCTGCGCACCACCCAAGCCCGTGCGCACACACGATCGAGGATCCCTGGCAGGTCACGGCTACACCACACGTGTGCGTCATCAGAGTTGAGACCGACGCTCCCTTTCTCTTTTGTCCTCTCTTTCTCTCACGTACTGTCCCCTTTGTTAATGATACTCACCGGCAATCGTAGAAGAAGTGGAGGCAACGTTACTGATCGATACTCCAAAACTGAATCACCGCATCGATTGTAACTTCAGTTGATTCGTGAATTCATAATAATGCATTAGCATGGCATACATAAGTTACTCTTTGTTAATGAATGAACTGAATGAATGTTACGGTAGCCGATGCATGTCTCTCCTCACTCTCGATCGCCGCCGTGTAGTGCATATATATAAATATACCTGGCCACCATCTGTGTATAGGTATGCCGTTCTGGATTCTGGAGCCATAGGCCGTACACTACTAGCTCTTGCGTACATCCCAAATTTCCAATGGCTCGTCTCTCTAGTACCGTCCCACTCCTGCTCGTCGTCATCGTCTTCGTCCTTGCAGTGACAACCAGTCCGCCGTTCCAAGCCCATGCTTCCCGGCATCACCAGGTGGCGGACGTCGCGGATCCACCGTCGTCGTCGTCGTCATCATCCGTGGAGACTGACAAAGTTTCGGCAGGCACTGATGTGCTCATAATCCAGACATACAAGAGAGACCATGTTGCTGAAGATGGCAACAGCAACCGTTTCTCGCTGCCGGCACGCGCTCCTTCCACGGCGCCAGCGTCGTCGCCTCCCGAGGGCGGCGGCCTGGCCGGTGACGTGGGCGGATTTTTCGCGGACCTGCGGAGGAAGTTTTGGAGGCTCGACGAGCCGTACCACCATGTGATTCCGGGCATCGGAGACCACAACTAAATTCTTATGGAGAGACACAGGAGCGGATCTAAACGTTCGTTAATTCATATATGACGCAAACACCCAAGGAAGATGGCAAAAGCATTGCAGGGTAGTGAACGCGTACGTGTTTATGACACTCCATCTGCCACCTTTCTTGTGTCTTGCAAGAAGATAAATAAATTAAGGGTCCCTTTTGCATGGTTTAATTAATGGAGCCTGAGCTCCTTGTTACAGTTTTAAGAGAAGCTGGATCTTGTGATGCCTAAAATAATACTCTAGCTTCACAGGTTCCTTGCTCATCAGGCTAGAATGCTTGTGTTGAGTTGTGATCCAAATTCAGTTATGTACAAGATAAAGGCTAACTTCTGCCGGAGTGAAGCGAGGCCCGTCGTCGGAAGGCTTGGGCCGAAGCGAAGGTAATGTGTATACTCTAGCTTCACGGATCGTCGCCTATTAGGGTTTTCCATCTATATATACTTCCTGTAAGCCGTCGTCTTGGATAAGAAAAGTTATAAATCCCCGACGTTTGTAACCTCACACGATATAGTGAAGATTTGCTGGCTGATGCCCGTGGTTTTTTCCCTTCTTCCTTGGAAGGGTTTTCCACGTTAAATCTCGTGTCCCCTGTGTTTGATCTACTGTTCTTCGTCGTTTATATTGCCTATCGTTTCTAACAGCTTGGTGATGTGCAGATGTAGTCGGAGCACTCAAAAATCTCGCCAAAGAAGTTCTAAGTGGACGTTACGCATAGTGAAAGCGTGAACAGTGAACTAACATAAGTCCTAGCGTGGCACAGCTCACATCAGGCCACAACGTCAGTGTCCACTTTCAGCTCCAAATAAGCAAAATTTCCTCTTTTCCTTTAACCTGGTGATGACACCTGACCATCAGCATAAATTTAGTAGGCACCGTCTTCAATTTTTTTGAGCCAAGTGTGAACTATTTTCTTAAGACAGACTTTTGAAGTGATGGCCGCACAACTTGATCTCAGAACTATTTAGAATCCAAATTAACCTTTGCGTACGTTTATCTCAGAAAGTGAACCTTTGAAGTCATGGACCCCAAAAAAACTTCAATGTTTCTTCAGTTTCTTTTGTGCATCGTAATTAATCATCTGAAGTGTCAGGGACAAACTACGAAATGACAGGCTTGCATCCGGTCGAGCATCAAATCCATCAGTCCAGACACAACAAAACGATGTAAAGCGGTGAAGCGACGAACCTGGCCGCACCTTTTAGTACAAGCACTACTGATATACGACTTTTAGAGGTAGCACGATTTTTCTTCGACTACTACACATATCATATATCATTTGTAGGGACAGCTGGTGAGGCTTCGTAGAGACGGCTCGATCAGCCGTTCCTACCATACCGTCTCTACAAATTGTGTATTTTTAGAGACGGTTCCCAAACCATCCTTACAAATCGATTTGTAAAAGTGGCTGGTGTTATCAGCCGCCTCTACAAATCGATATGTAGGGGCGGCTGGTAACACCAGCCGCCTCTACAAAATCGATTTATAGGGGCGGCTGTAGTACCAGCCGCCCCTATAATACCTGTTTGTAGGGGCGGTTCAGTCTAGAACCGCCCCTACAGCATATTGTTTCGCAAAAAAAAATCAAATTTACAATTCAAATTCGACCAGAACATATATAGAGAGAGAAGATAGAGGGAGGAGACGAGAGAGTGATTTGGGGTGGAGGGGGACGCGGGTGGGCGACTGGGGGCTCGAGACGGACGCGGACTCGAGTCATCGGTCAGTTCGACGTGCATTGAGATCGACACATTTGTAGATGCGGCTCATATTACCAGCCGCCTCTATTGTGCCATTTGTAGGGACGGCTGCTGTACCTGAACCCGAGCACGTCACTGTAAGGGTGGCTCCAATACCAGCCGCCCCTAGAAAAAAAATGCGACATTGCTGCAAACTGTTTTTCACGTAGTGTTCCAAGGGCGTTTGTAATTCCGATTGGCCCTACAAATACTTCGAGAGATAGACCACGCCCTAAAAGTTGAGTCGTATGGACAGTTACCGACTGCCTGGCCCCTAGATTGAACTCCATTTGGTGTTACCAACCGCTTCAAGCAATATCATTTCTATGGATGATTGGTGTTATGGACCGCCCACAAAAATTGAGGCCATCTCCATTGGAGTTTGGTAACACCAAACTTCTCTAAAAATAGTTGACACACAAAAATATTCGTAACTTTTATACATAATGTCAGATGAAGACAAGCTTTATAAAAAAATGGTAATGGTCGATGAGACCTCAAACTTTACAGTGGATGACTATTTGATTTGAGATCATTTAGGGCCAACAAAATACGTACAAGTTCTCAGATTCTTTTAAGTTCAAAATTTTTGTTTTGTCAAACAAACTCAGATGACAACAGTTTGTGTACCAAAGTGGCAGTTCTCGATGAGATCTAAAACCACAACTACAACAACTTCATCACCGTCAGGTCTCAAACCCCCTTCACCATCGGGTTTCCTCCCTAGTGGTGAAATTGGGCGAGTGAAAGTGGTGTTCATTGCCATTCATTTGTAAACTGGAGGTGAAAGCGAATTAAAATTAAAAAAAAAACACGCACACGCCCATTGTCATTGTCGTACAGCGCTATCCTTGCTGACGTGTTTGTCATCACCATCGCCCGCTATGCTAGAAAGGGGGTGCGGTCCACCACCGCCTCACCAGCAGAGGGACGGGCACGTTGCCCCCTCCCTTGACCATGCCAAATCCAGGCGCTGCCGCAACTACCCCCAACCTTGCTAGATCTGGCTGTTGCGCCGAGAGAGCGCCGTGCCTCATCTTCGATGCTCCGTCCTTGCTAGGGAGAGCTTTGTTGCTCGCCAAGCTCTGTCTGCTGATACGCTAGTGTCGTCGCCTACACAGATTCAACGACGTCCACGCAGGTCCATCCTAAGCCGTCGAAAACTGCCTTGCATGGACGTCGAGGAGGGGCCGTGGTGTGGAGGAGGGGGCGGCGATGATGGGGGAGGAGGGGTTGGCGTCTATGGTGTGGAGGAGGGGGTGCCGGTGGGTAGAGAGAGAAAGCCAGGTGTGAGAGGGAGAACACCAAGAGAGAGTATCGAGCATCGGTTTAGTGAGAGAGAGAGAGAGAGAGAGAGAGAGAGAGAGAGAGAGAGAGAGAGTCAGTGGGTTAATATACTTGACCCCAATTTTCACAACAAGCCCATATGGCTTGAACTGGGGGTGGAAATTAGCCAGGTTTTCACCGCTGATTCAAGCTATGGGCTAGTGGTGAAAACCATTATCACCACCGCTTCTGTTATATTTTCATAGCCGATTTGTAACAAAAACCAGCAGTGATAATGTATCACTGCTGATTTTAATAGATCCCACGGTGAAAATGGGGATGGAAAAAAAGTCTGTAGCAATAAAGTTTATAGTTGAAATTCTTTAATTTAAGATTATTCATGGGTTCAAATATTTAATATAAATTCATAGAAGTGAATATAAAAGAAGATGTGCAAATGAGTTTGTGGCGTGATAGCAGAGGATGCTTGCACAAGGTAAGAGATCATGGGTTTGTATCCTATAAAACGCAAGCACATATTTTGCTCTAAAAATTGTTTGACTTCCTGTGGCCGTAATGCTTAGCTAGTGGGACTTGTCCCGCTATTTTATGGCTGACTTTTCAGTTCTACAAAATAATTTGTGGTTGGGTCATGTTACCATCTGCTTATAAATATTTTTAGAGGGGGTCAAAAACACCAAATGACCTTTAAATTTTCTTAGAGCGGTTATTACATACCTCGCTTCTGGAAATAGTTTGTGTAGTAATGAATAATCTTATATTGTGAAACATTTGGTTCATAGTTAGCAATCGCAAGTCTGACTAGTCGAGTGGGATACTTGTTAATTCATTCATGCATTCGTTCAGTCATTTCTTCACCGTTTAGGGCACTTAAATAATATTTAAATGGTAAACGAAGGCTAATTGTATTGTTTAGGTCCTAGATAGTCGACTAGACTGTTGGATCATTAGAGTCGATTTCAATTACCGTACGTTTAGTCAACAGGAGGATTGTAACCACCACATTAGAACCAACTAATTATCATCATAAATATACAAGGTAGAATTACAATAAAATACATATTTTCCATTATATTTGACTTATATATATATATAAATGTTTATATTTTAATGATACTATATAAAATCATTTGTGCCGGCTAATTAACTCCATTTAAAAGTCATCAAAATAATCGAAATGCTAGACAAAGGTGGTTGAATGATACTAGTGGGCCCGCCGAGCAGCGGCAGGTCCAGCGCCGCTCCCTGCACTAGTTCCATCAGCACCGCACTGACCACGGCACCACCCTATTGGTATCTACTAGAACGATAATGCTACAAAAAAGACGTCCGACGCTAGCGACTCCCTCAGGACGGACGCGTGGCGTTACGTGCATCGCAACTTTCACTCCTTCCGTCCCTTATTCTCATCCGGACACCGCTCGCTCACTCTACTCAGCCTTCTCCCGCCGTGCCCTAACCCTGCGCCGCCCGCTCGCTCCTCTCTCCCACAAAGTCGCGCGCCCCACTTGCACCGTTCACTCCTCGCTCCTCGCTCCTCGCCCCGCCCGTCACACGCCCCACCCGCACCTCGCTCCTCGCTTTGGTTGTGCGCCGCGCCGCCCACTCCCTCTCGTAGCACGCGGTGCCCTCCAGGCTGAGCCAAGGCTTGTGCGGGTGGCACTGGCTGGTCGTGGTGCTCGCGCACGCCGCTGGTGCTCGTGCGCGCCGCTGGTGCTGGGTGCTGGTGGTGCTCATGCACCGTCGCTCGCCACCGGCTTTGACCACGATGGCCGGAATCGACCGGCCCAGGCTTCCCCTTCCCTATGTTGCAAATGTATGTTTCAGGTTTTTCAGTCGTTTCAAGGTATGTTGCAGTTGTTTCTTATGAATGTTGCAAAAGTAGGTCGGGGATGTTGCACATGTTGCATATGTTGCAAGTGTTTCGGAGGCATGTTGCAAGCATTTGTTCAAAATATT